GAACTACAGGCGTGTGCTACCATGCCCGGCTAATTTTTTGATTTATTGTAGAGATGAGGTCTCGCCTGCTCAGGCGGGTCTCGAACCCACGGGCTCAGGCAATCCACTCACCTCAGCCTCCCAAAGGCGCGGGATTACAGGCTGAGCCACCGAGCCCGGCTGACAGCCTTTTAAATAATATAATTCCAGTCATGCATGTCAAAGGTGCCAGAAAGTTAATGTGTAAAAAATGAAAGATGTATTCAGGAGATGATTTTTTTTAACCCTTTATACTCTGGGACTTCTCGTAGATCACCTACCAGCAACTCAACCATACTTTTTAATGAAATAGTGAAAAATGAATCACTTCATGTTAAATGGTATAGCATTGGAACCAATTTATTTATTTTTAATTTAAAAAAATTTTTTTTGAGTTGGAGACTCATTCCATCGCCCAGGCTGGAATGCAGTGTCATGCTCAGAGCCACTGCAGCCTCAACCTGCTGGGCTCAGGTGATCCTTCCATCTCAGCCTTCCAAGTGGCTGGAACTACAGGCATGTGCCACGACACCCGGTTAATTTTTTGATTTATTGTGGAAATGAAGTCTCACCAATTTACCCAACCTGGTCTTGAACCTGAGGACTCAGGCAATCCTCTCACCATGGCCTCCCAAAGTGCTGGGATTATAGGCATGAACCACCATGCCTGGCCTGGAACCAGTTATTTTATTATAATTATATTTGGCTTATAATAAAATTTTGGACATTGAGGAACTTATGACAAAAAAATCAAAATTTTATCTTTTGTTTTTCTAACGCTTGGTAGTAACATGTGAAACAGTCACCAACATGCATTGAAGGTTCATTGATACATGTTGTACAATAGTAATTTGTTCAATGTCTTCTACCTGTGTTTTTCTTTTCTTTTCTTTTTTTTTTTTTTGAGTTGGAGTCTCATTCTGTCACCCAGGCTGGAGGGCAGAGGCACACTCCCAGCCACCGCAGCCTCAACCTGCTGGGCTCAGGCAATCCTTCCGCCTCAGCCTTCCAAGTAGCTGGAACTACAGGCATGCGCCACCATGCTCGACTAATTTTTGATTTATTGTAGAGATGAGGTCTTGCCAAGTTGCCCTGGCTGGTCTCGAACATGCAGGCTCAGGCAATCCTTTCACCTCTGCCTCCCAAAGTGCTGGGATTATAGGCGTGAGCCACTGTGCCCGGTCCCTAGTGTTTTTCTATTTGAGCAGACAGTGCAGTCTCATTTTCTTCCTCCCACATTAATATGTAATTTATTGTCCAATCTGTGCATCACTGTGAAAGTACTTCACACATTCTCTATGTAATGCTGGCTGATTTTTTTTCACATATTTTTTAACAGTATATATTCCATCTCTATTTGATTTTTCATGCAATTTGAATGGAAAACTTCAAGAAAATACACATTTTTGAAAAATTTGCACTTGTATAAGTGTGTCCTGTATATTCAGCAATCTTTTGATGTCCCCTCTGAGAGGGGACATCTGAGTGGTTTGCTAGATTTATGATGTCCCCTCAGAGGGAACATCTGAGTGCAAAGGGTTACATTTTCAAAGAAATATATACTATTGTTACATCGTCTTTCCAATTAAAAAAAAATTAGGTTGTGTGAAAGAGGGCATGGTTTCTAAACAGATACATCTGTGAAAAATTCAGTTCAGATACCACTTGGTGGCAGTGTACCTAATTTTGTAAACGTACCCATGAAGAGCTAATTTTTGAATTTTCTAACATAAGCCTAAACCAAAATAGCAGGCATCACAGAGCATGATATTGAAGAGGCAAGGACTAGGAAACCTGGTCATGAGAGGTCTCTACCCACATTTCCAGGTCAGAGTAACAGGGACCTACTTACCCTTCAGAAGGGCCGTCTGCATGATGTCCCGGGCAAGGGGATTATGTGACTGTATGGCATACTGGCATATTGCTGCTGCCATCCGCACATTGGCATTCTTGTCACAAAGCGCAGCCTCTAGGGCAGGCTGCAGAGCCTCTGGCAAGTCCTGGACAGGTGGGGCTTTCACAGTCTCCTTGTCTGTGGTCAGAAGAGCTAGGTAAGAGCTCTGGTCCATTGCTTTTCCCTCCCTCAGCCATGTGGTGGCCAACCTCAGTCCAAGCTCGGTTGCTTACTGCCATGTGGTATAATTAGTCTAGCTGACTCCTGCCACAGGCAGGACTTTATGCTCAAAGGGCTAGAGCTCACTCTATGCTGGGATGCCAGTTCCCAGGCCTCAAGCCCAAGAAGATTTCCAGCTAGGCTCTGGTGCCCTTGCCATTAGTTATAGTGATAAACCAAGTAGTATGCCCTGAGAGGCTTTATGGTAGCAAGTATATTTATGTAGTGCTTTGCCACTTACTTATATAATGTAGTATTTTCACATTCAGTCTTCCAGCCGTGATTGAAGTAGGCAAGGCAGGTATTGCAGAGCTCACCAGGAGAGCTTTTATGTTTAACTAAACATTCAGATTCACAAGACATCATAGGCCACACATGGCATTAGAAAAATGTGGGACAGGAGCACAGTTTGTCACAAGGGCAGCAGCATCAAGTACATTTTGGCCAGGGTTTTTGGGCCTGTTTGTGTCTCATTCCACAGAACCTCCTGCAGACAGCTCAGAATGCAGAGTTCATACTCTGAGTAGATGTACACTCTGCACGAACTAATATATCTTATGTCAACTCCATAGATACAATTCTAGGGTATGCCTGTGGGTTACAGCATTCAAGGAAGCCCAAAGTGTGGTGTCCCTGTCAGGTGTTTACAATTTGCTTGGAGTTCTTCCAGTTATAATGTACTTTATCAGGGTTTGTACCACAAGCAGTGCTGCCTGTAAAGATAGTTTTTATCCTCAGGTTATCAAGGGAACAGATGGGCATTTAATGGAAGCTCAAATTCTCAAGTAGAATGGGAAAAGCATTTGTTATCACTTTGTACACAACTATTCTCATTAATAGATAAGGAAGTTGAAGCTCAGAGAGGTTAGCAGACTTTCTAAGAAGTGGCAGAGCTGAGCCTGTGACTCAGGTTTTAGGATTTCTTTCTTTTTTTTTTTTATAGTTGACCTGTTGCCCAGGCTGGAGTGCAGGCTGGAGTGACACTCATGGCCACTGCAGCCTTGACCTGCTGGGCTCAAGCAGTCCTTCCACTTCACCCTTCCAAGTAGCTGAAATTACAGGCACACACTACAACACCCAGCTTATTTTTTAATTTATTGTAGAGATGAGGTCTCACCAAATTGCCCAGGCTGATCTCGAGCCTCTGAGCTCAGGCAATTCTCCTGCCTCGGCCTCCCAAAGTACTGGGATTACAGGCTTGAGCCACTATGCCTGGCCTAGGCTTTAGGATTTCTAATCATCTGTCCTTTTTACTAATGCTTTGGGCCAATATGCCATCTGCTAAGAATGGACTCGATATAAATATATGTATTTCAGAGAAATAAATTGAAGTCAATTGAAATTTCAAGACATAATGAGTAAGATAATTTTCTTTGGGGAGGGCACAAGACAAATAAAAACTTAGACATTGAGGAATGTGAAAGAGATCATGTGAAAGTCACAGTTTTGAGGAAGACAGCTGTTGTTTGTATGCACGTGGGAGACTTGTGGATGAGATTATAATAATATCTTCTGCTCCCTGTTGAAAATTTTCCCTATATGCCAGGCACTGAAAATATATCATCCCTCTTAATATCCCAGGAAATAAGCAGATGTAATAAAGTCTGTGTGGAAGCATGTTTCAGGGACCCTGAACAGGGTCTGGGCAGTGGGCAGGGAAGGCTCCCCAGAGAAAGGGATACTTTAGCTGAACATTGAAGGGCAAGTGTCACAGTTAATCAGGCAGGGAAAGAGAATGAGTTTTACAACAGAAGCAGCAGCAGATCTGTAAACTTGGAGGGAAAATGCCTGTATCTGGAACTCAGCATGAAATAAGTGAAATGAACCTAAAAGCCTGACAACTTTGTAGAGGTGAAATTAGTCCCTGCCCTTAAAGAATTCCTTCCCTGCTAGCAAAAACTCTAAAAATGTAACAAAAATAGTATCAATACAAACTACCTGTTTCACTTTTGTAATAAAAAAATTCTAGAGTATTAACAAATTAAACACAGTAGAGTAATAAATAATATAATTGTGATCTGGTAGGATTTATTCTAAGAATTTAACAGCAGAATTGATCAGATCCACCAGTTAAAGAGAAAATACTAAAACATGTCTGATAAAATTCAACACTCATTTTGTTTGTTGATAAATAGAATAGTTCACATATATATTGGCATATGTTCGTTAAAGTATAAAGATGTGGAACCAGCCTTAAACACTGGTTATCCTAGGAGTGGTGTGTGGGGTGGGACTGGGAAGTGGATTGCAGAAGGTTATTACCTCTTTTTATACTCCTGTATGCTGACTAATAATGACACTTAATATCTCTTTTGTAATTAAAAAATAAAATATTTTGAAGGCAGAATCAGTAGAATTTGGTGATCAGTTGGTTGTGGGAAAGGATTTTTATCCAGGATGACCCCCAGGGTCAGAACTCAAAAACTAGATGGATTGTGGGACTGCTGACAGAGATTTTGAATGTGGGGAGGGTATCTATGGAACTGGGAGAAGAGCATATATATACGGGGGTGCCAAAAAAGTCTATATACATTTTAAGTATGATGTTCGTTCAAAAGATGGCATCAATCAAATGAATGCTAGTGTCACCATGCGACAGGCAGGACTACCAAAGAAAACCCAGAAGCATGGTTGAGTGAATGTCATACTACACATTGCTACCATAATTAAATTCAGCTTTGAAAAGTAATATGAGGTCTGACAATTAGGCTCGTGAATCATCCTAGAAAAAGTGCTACGTGCATCATTGTTGAATATCACTATGGTCACCTTCAAGGTACTCCCCTTGGGAAGCTATGCACTGCTGCCAGCGCTTAGTCCACCTGTCACAGCAATTTTAGAACTCTTTCTGGAATAGCCATCAGAGCTGTCATCATTGTTGAAGTGTGACAATTGAGTTCATGAACTTGCCACTATACACTTACATTGGCAGCACTGTGCAAATAACTGTATTGGAACACCCTCCCTACTTACCTGATCTGACCCCAAATGACTTCTTTTCTTTACTGGAAGATAAAGGAAATATTGAAAGGAAGAGATTTGATGACATTCAGGACATCAGGGGTTATACAGTGGTGGCTCTGATGGCCATTCCAGAAAAAAGTTCCAAAATTGCTTTGACAGGTGGGCTAGGCCACTGGCATTGTTGCATAGTTTCCCAAGGGGAGTACTTCAAAGGTGACCATAGTGATATTCATCAGTGAGGCATGTAGCACTTTCTAATGAGTTCACAAGCTTAATTATCTGACCTCCTATTATATATGTGTGTATGCATGTATGTACATGTATATGTATGTATGTGTGTGTGTGTGTGTATACATACATATATATATATACACACACGTTTTTTTTTTTTAGTCAGAGTCTCACCCTGTCACCCAGGCTGGAGTGCAGTGGCATGCTCACGTCCACCCCAGCATTGACCTGCTGGCTGCTGGGCTCCAGTGATCCTTCCACCTCAGCTTTCCAAGTAGCTGGAACTATAGGCCTGCACTACTTCGCCCGGCTAAATTTTTGACATATTATAGAGACGAGGTCTCAGCCAGTTGCCCAGGTTGGCCTTGAACCCTTGGGCTCAGGCAGTCCTCTCGCCTCAGCCTCCCAAAGTGCTGGGATTACAGGCTTGAGCCACCACACCTGGCCTATATTTTTTAATGACAGGGTCTTGCTATGCCACCCACACTGAAGTGCATTGACTATTCACAGGTGCAATAATAGTGCACTACAAGCCGGGCTCGGTGGCTCAGCCTGTAATCTTGTACCTTTGGGAGGCTGAGGTGAATGGATTGCCTGAGCCTGCGGGTTCGAGACCCGCCTGGGCAATTTTGCGCGACCTCATCTCTACAATAAATCAAAATGAGCTGGGCGTGGTAGTGTGCACCTATAGTTCCAGCTACTTGGAAGGCTGAGGCAGAAGGATCACCAGAGCCCAGCAGGTCAGGGCTGCAGTGACCGGGAGCAGCCACTGCACTCCAGTCTGGGTGACAGAGGAGACAAAAAC